TCTTTGGTCCCATGAGTAGCAGGGCCTTGGGAGGCCCCTTGGGCCTTTCCGTCCATCCCATAAAATCCGTCCACTTGGGTTCCGCGGCCTTCACCACTTGCCATCCTCCACGGGCCTTCCCTTTTTCACGTGTTCGCGTGGTGGATGAGCACTGATTCGAACAACATCCACAGGATCGCGTCCTGGGCACGGGATCAGGACAGGATGGCCCATGGGTCATTCACTCGCAGGGCCATGGGGTGAGCAGGCGTCGACTGGTTTTGGGTTGGGATCTCTGTCCGCGGGGAGGGTTTGCTAGTATATCTCTGGCCGCCATGGGGGCATCTTTTTTGTTTTCTTTCCAGCTTCCTGGTTTCCTGGAGAGGAAGCTGCAAGTACGATCCCAAGTACACGTCCATTCGCCGGCGGTCGGCGGATTCCGCGGATTCCGTTCCTCAAACAGGACGCAGATCCGTAACAATCTCATTCCCCCGAAGAAAAAGAATGTGATGAACATCAAAGAGACATAAAAGGAGGCCGTCTCAGACCAGTTGCTGTGTGCCAACAGACCGTTCCGGTTTCATCCCCCGTTCACCCACCAACCGTGACCGTCTCCGAGGCATGTTCGTGACCGTCTCCGCCGATGGTCTGGTGGCGAAGCACGAGGTCGGTCGGTCGCTTTCCGCCGTGGGGAGTCATGGAGCGAATGCGCCCGGACCGGGCTTGTGAGGTGTTTCGGAATGGGGGGAAAGGTCTGTTTTGGGGGTGGTTGATTTGGGGGTGTGATTTTGTATGGCGCAGGGGATGCTTTTTGGGGGGTGGTTGATGATTGAAGATGCAGCAAACTAAGCAAACATTGTCCAAGTACCAGAGCAGCTCTCCCCTGTTCAACCACCCAAATGCAGGTAGATGTAGAGTGGTTTCAGAGTAGATGGCACAATCCTCAAAAGGTGTTTCATATGACATGTAGGGGGGGTGCCAGTGCCATCTACTCTGAAACCACTAATCCCGTCCAAAAAAACACGCGGCCCCCCCCCTAATAAGGAGACCTCAGTCGCCCTCTTTGAATAGGGGGTCCCTGAAATCGGATAATCGGGGTGGTCCAAAATAGGGTCACCCGGGAAGGGCTTCAAAACCAAAAAGTCACCCAGGATTTGTTTTTTATAAAATCCTTTATTAAACTCGTATCAAAAATTCAAAAAAAGTACTTACAGATCGAAAGCCTGCTGGTGTAAACACGGCATGTCATGGTGGATAGACAGGGTGGACAGACGTGGGCAGTTAAGGTTGTTTTGGAACCTAATTTAAACAAACAAACAAAAAACTCCTCCAAAATCGGCCATGTTGGTAGTTTAGTAGCGGTTTGAAAGGGCGGCAATTTAAAAACAAATATAAACCGTATTCAGGGGTTTCTGGCATGTAATAAGGGTCCGTTTTTTAATAGGTACTCGGGATTATACCAGTCCCATTGGTCGTGTTTGGGGTGGGAACCATACTGGGACCCCTGGCACCACCGATGTGTCGCAAAGACTTCCGGTTCCGGTGCTCGGTGCTCGGTTCGTTTTGGGCTATCATCCAGAAGATGCGTTTAACAGCAAGTTTATCCTGGCACCAGGGTTTATCAGGCTACCTGTGTCAACCAAGACAATCCTACAGTTTCACATCAAGACTATACAACAGAGATCATACCTGGGCGCCCTGTTCGGGGTGCCAATAGCCCCGAAAAGCGCGGATTCCAGGTGTCCATCCCATTCTATACCAGCAACAGTTAGTAAAAGATCATATCACTCTTGTTGGGAAAAAAGGGGTTGAACCAAACATAAACCTATAAGCATCATCCATTGCATCTCCAGTCAGTTTGTTGCTCCCGCTGGAGCCTCCGTGAGCAGTGTGAAGCAGGCGCCCTTCGAAGACGACATGTTCGGCGGCGTCCTGGGCGTCGAGCCGCTCCAGCAGGAGCCGCGCGGGTCCTGGAAGGTGGATCCGAGCTGTTCGGAATCCGGCCGTGCATGGCCGTGGTGTGAACACCTGTCTTTATGAAAACACTGGTCTATATGAACGTCTATGTGAACGACCAGTGTTGTATCCACATTAACGACCAGTGTTGACGATCAAAAGGGAAGGGAAGCTCAGACTCTCCGATCCACTTTTCTTCCGGCATGCTTTGTTTCAGGTGCCAGAAATCGTACACATAGAAATCCGCCACAACAGGTCCATCCTGGATGATTTGGACTGTCAAACCACTCGATCAAACCAGGAGCCGCGGGGCTTTTACTTCGAAGTGAAGGTGCAAGAAGCGGCCACAGGCCGTGTTCGGATGGAATCGGACGTGGTTCCGTGGTGGATGGAGGAAGAGGAACCAACCAACTGGGATATCCAAATCCCCAGTGGTTTGCGATGGAACATGGCTTGGATTTCAAGACACATGGCGGTCGCACGCGGAGCCCGATCAGGGCTCCGCGTCCCTGGCAGGTTGACCTCCATTAAGTAGTCTATTCTGTTTCGTTGGTCAACCCAGGGTCCGTGATTTTGCCTATTCTTTCGCCTGATGTTGAATCCCCTGGGCTTGCAGTCACACACCCACTAAGCTCAAAGTCAACGATGTTTCAGAAAGCTTGCTTTTCAGAGCCATTGGCATCATGTGTTGAATGCTTTGGCGATCAAATACCAATCTTCCTTGCTCACGAAACCATGCTGTCCGTGCTTTGAGAACGCCAGCTGTCCGTGCGCTTGGAAACGAAGGAGGGCTCAAAAGGTTGGCCATGTTAAAAGTAAATGCATTCAGGTGCCTTCTTTGCCAATGCATGGCTGAACATCATGACTTCAATTGGACAGTATGCAAGGAAGCTGTGAAAAGATTGAAGTGTAGATAGTTCAGGATATGAAAGACAGAACAAAAACAAAAAAAAAAGACATTCTTTCCAAAGGAACCTTGAAGTTTGGGTGACACCTGTTCCCGAAGTTCCTTCCTCACCAATCCTCCTTCCTCGTGAGGCCATCCAGATGGCTTGGCGGTGGGAGTGACCACGGAGAATCCCGCCACGTTGAAGGAAGTGCCCGAGATCTTGGATGGACTGAAGCAGGCGCGGAGCCAGATCCAAGGAGTCGGAGTCCCGGGCAGCAGCGGCAGGGCGAGTTGGAGCGCGCGGGCGACCGAGATGGGATCGACCGAAGGCGGAGCCGGAGGGGCTTTGGGCCGACTTTTGGCCGGAAGCTGGAGGGGCTTTTGGCCGAAGCTGCTCTCTTCGTTCGTGGGTGAAGGAAAGGTGGGTTCGGTGTTGATGAGTTTTGAAGGGGAAGATGCCGTTGAGGCCATGAGCTGACAACAGATCATTGAAAGATGGGTCATCATGGATCACATCTTGGCTTGCTCAAAGATACACTTTCACCGCATCAAGAAAGCCCTGACCGCATCCAAACGGCGTCCCTTGATCGAAAGGGGATCACAAAAAGTCAACAAAAGGGGAACCAACGACCGCATCACCCTGAAAAACCTCTATCCATCACCCCGTGGCCACACCGCGACTCCTGGACACCCCGAACGGTCATCCTCCCCCCCGCTCGGCACGCCGATCGCAGGACGCAGGACTCATGGGACCAATCATCGGTCCCCCAAAGACTACTGAGTCGGGAGAAGAAGTAGACATCCTCCAACCTATAGCTGCTAGTATGGCTGGTTGGTCATGTATGGCTGCCATTGCCCAACACAAACCTAGCAAAAGGAAGCTAAGAGCCATGGCCTGGCTGTCCGGATCGTAGATGGTCTGCTTGGCACCAGGCCTGGCTGGTGGGCTTCGACGGCATCATGTACGACGGCCACGACTTCACGGAGATCGACTGGTATCCGGCGGAGCTGCGCATCGGCCGCTCAGCATAGCATGACAGGGGACGGAGGGGAAGACGATGGGCTGGGCAGTGTGGATAACGGCGGTGAGCGCGCGGGGAGGGCTGGAAGAGCGTAGTGAGTGGAACGGATTGAGTAGAGTGGATAGGATGAAGGGATTCTAGTTGGCAAGGAGTGGCGACTGAAGACTTGATACCGGTCCCAGTCTGCTTCGTGGCCCCAAAAAAATAGTTCCTCAGACTACCCAAGTTGGAATTCGCCTGGCGAATTCCTGGGAACAATGGTATAACTTCATATGCGTTTACCATATTCCCAACCTTGATGGTTGAGGACAATGCATCTACCATCTTCACCCAAATCCTCAACCTCATTCTCCACATCTTCCGGGAGTCTCCCGGTCGGTCGGTCGCCATCTTCGTGCAAGGCGACCGTGTGGGGGTCTTGATCACTCCGAAGGGGCAGATGCAAGTCTTCGCCACTTGGACGGAGAACCTGGGCCCGCTGGGTGTGGCTGGTCCCGATGGCGGTTGCAACTGGTCCAATCCCCTGGCCCGTACGGGCCTGAAGGTTTGCCCTGGACTCACACGAAGGGGGGGAGAGATGAGCAGTGATCCACGTCGGGATCCAAGCACGGCAAGACCTAATTATGGACAAAACAGCTGTTGAGTGACCTGGACAAAGAGGGTTTCTTTGTGGGACCTGCCGTGCCTAATGACACATGGTTAGGTCCATCAAGGTTGTCAAGACCAACTTGGTCTTTTGTTGGGAAGGGTGGCATCTTCTTGGACGATCCGGTCATTTCACGTGACCTACATAAACATGTTTAAACATGTTTGCTTTGAATATCTCGCTTGAGCCATGAACCGTTGTGGGTCCTCGGTTGGCGAGGAATGCTACAAGGTCCTTGGCTTTTCTTTGCCCCCTAGCATGCGAGGTCGGTTGGGATAAAGGTATAGAATGTGTTTACAGTTTGTTACCAGGACCCTCCAAGGGGTGCCCAATGGAAGCTCCAGGTAAGCAAATTCGCCTGGAATGAACATGCACACTTTCTCGTTCTCTGATGCCAACTTGTGATGAAAGCGAGCGATGAGAAACCACCCAAACGGTCACCGGGACCCATGTGTTTCAAGCAGAAACAGCATCCTCTCTGTGAGTCGAGAACCATGCTAGAACGGTTATGGCGTTTGTTCTGCAGACATATGCAGACCATCGCGGGATCCTCAGCTCCTTCTACTTCAGCAGGCGAGTGTCTAGCCGATGGTTTGCCGGCAGCATGGCCGTCGCTCGGCCCAAGGTGAACGGCAAGTTTCGCTTGGACGGCCCAGGCAACGTGGAGACCAGACACTTGGCAAAGCAGACATCACAGACACAGGTCTCGGTGTTGGACAGGTCTCGGATGTGTCTCCCAGAGATGGGCAATAGGTCATCCACGAAGGACGGACTCGGACTCCAGGACTGGGTAGAAGGGGATTGGTTCGAAAAAGTTGGGGGAGAGAGAGAGAGAATGCCGCGACGTGGGCGAAAGCCATGAGTTTGCCACATCCGAAAAGCAAGTGCGAAGTGATTTGTGAATTGCTTCATGTTCGCCTGCAGCTCTTTTAGAGCTCTTCGCATCCCCTAATGTAGACATGTAGACTCTTGACTATACATAAAACCCCCGCCATTTGGATGTGTAAAGCCTCTTCAGCGTACATATCTCCTTCCTTCGGAACCACCGCCAACCTCCGACCCATCGCCCACCTCGCCATACCAAACTCTCACCCGTCTCAAGGTCGCCCGACCTCGCTCACACCGGACGCTCACCAAACACCGAAGCCGAGGCCGTCCGCTGTTTCTGGCTGTGGACCTGATCGGGAACACCGAAGCCGTGGCCCTGCTACCGGAGGCGGGCGAAGCATCGAAGCAGGGATTCTGCCGGTGACCTGACAGGTTTTGACCTGGTTGTGACCTGGTGTTTTCTTTCATAAATTCAACACCAAGAACTCAGTATCCCAGTATCCCATGATTTCTGCAGGACCAACGGTTTCTTCCCCTGGACTCATCCTTTCACCATGGGTTGGACCATGCTTGGACCATGGTGGATCACCATATTCCATATTGCTCTCCAGCCACATGGTAGGCCCGATGCCCGGCCGGCGATGGCGCGGCCGCACGCCATGCGAGCCACCTGCACCTCGGCCGTGGCCAGTCGTCCGGAGTTGGAGACGTGGTTTTGGGCACCTTCCGGTGACGGTTTTATAGGAGAATGACCTGCACTAAGCATCATGCACTGTTACTGATGGAATTTGGAATAGATTATCCAATATCCATGGCTTTGCTTAAGGTGATCATGGGGGATCATGGGGGCGAAACGGTGTGGGAGCATGACGTCCGAAACGCCCACGCTGGGCTGGGCTCATTGCGGCCAGCTTCCCGCTTCCCGCTCGCCGGCGGGGCTTCACACAGTTACGAGGCCAAGTAGTAGGATGGATGATTTTTTGAGGCCATTTGAGGAGGGAAGCCATGAAAAATATAGAGAGAACTGGTGAAGTGACCTTGAAAACCTCGAGCGGTGATGAGGTAAACGATGGCAAAGTCCTTTGCCCGCAAGCTAGTGCACCCCTGCGGAGCGATACTTTTTGCACGGGTCGATTGGCTTCCCGGAACAGAGACCTATTTTTGAGATGCCTCCCATGTAGCTTACATGTTCAGCCCCAGTGCTGCTAATTTGATCCGAAGAGATTGTGCGAACTTTCCATGGTTGTTGGACACTGGGTGCAGTGAAACGATAGATTGGTCCATTGCCTCCCTTGTCCTGGTACACAAACCGGCTCACCCTAGCTCGTTCTCTTCGGCTCATCCGAGCTCTTCCAGCCAAGCAGAGGTGACCAACCATTCAGACGCCTTAAGAGGCGGAAAATGCACTAACGCGTGTGCCCACCATTCAGAGGCCATGGAAGTGGAGGTTGAGTCAGCTTTCCGAAAAAAAGTAGCCTGCTTTGGAAAGCAACAAAGCAGCTATGCTTGGTTCGAGGACTATGGGTTTCATGATGCTTTCGCGTGTTGTACCTGTGAGGCTTCAAAGCATATATGATTAGCGCCCAGTCTGCTGGAAGGAATTGGGAGTGATGGCGGCCATGCCTGTGTTGAAGTTGCCTGCAGATGCATGCCACAGGCCGCAAACCGCAGCGTGCCAAAGGTCCGTAGCAAGGTCCGGCTATTCGACTGGAGCCGCTCAAGATTTGGAGCCGCAGTCTTCAAAAGCGCGGCGGGAGACCCACATTTGTCGACCCGGTCTTCCGGCGAGATCGCCTTTCGGATCGAAGGAAGAAGGAGCCGGAGTCCTTGTTCTTCTGTGCGTGGCGAAGCGAAGAAAGTGTGACACCACTAGCGCGCTTTTTTCGTGGGCGTTCGACTTCACTGGAGAATCCACTCGTTTTGTTTCCCGAAACTTGGGCGTGTGACCACGCGTATCTCTTTGCCCTCGAACGAGGGGAGCGGCCCCAAACCGCTCGTGAGCTGTGTGGACCGAGATGCGGTGTTTCACCTGCCTTCCACGTGCCCGGTGCCGAGGAAGCCGAAAGGGGGCTTCCACCGGCCCTCCTTGGGGCGACAGCTCCGGCTGCTGGGCGAATGGACGGTGGAACACCTGGGCCACGAGGACTTGCAAGGCGCGGAAGCTGCGCGGAAGCTGCGCGGCTTGGGGTGCGGCGTGGGCTGGGCTGAGGGGTCTAGGAAAGGAAAAGCCATCAAAACCGGAGAGAAAGAGAGAGAGAGAGAGAGCTGATTTTTGGAGGATCAACTCTCCAAAACAGGGTCTTTTCCTATCAAAACAGAGGTCGCTCAGGCTCTAGGTAGAGTCTAGAATAAGTCTAGTTCTGGCTGAGTCCAACTCGGTTCGGAGATCCTCCTAGTTGTTTGGAGATTTGAAGGATTTCAGGTGGGTTCCCAAGCAGACTCATGAAAAAGAAGATGACTGGGTGGGCATAGGCTATATATGTAAGTCTCCCAGTGTTCTTTCTTCGATATGGTTCTTCCAATTCAGTCGCTTCACGACAGATGCGCCCCTCAGATGCGCCCCTCACCGGTCGAAACCGCATCAGTCGGTCCACTTGTTATGCTGTAGTGCCGAGGTGGTTTCTTCATGCTGTGTCCCTACACGCACACCACACACACATTAAGCATTCAAGAGTGTACACCAACGTCTACTGCAAGATGGCAAAATCTGTTGCATTCTGAAGCTTTGCTGCTCACCTGTAAAACGTTGGCAAAACGCACCAAACACCTTTGCTGTAGCATCATCATGCATCATCCTTAACAGACAAAGTACTGTAGTTGCAAAACTCGATTGGCAATCTTCTCTTCCCACCATTTCCGGACCAAGCCGTAAAGCTTTCCGCACTTGTTCGCCTTCTGGAAGACGCAAAGCTTTCCTTCCTTCCCCGGCCCAAGACCGGGAGAGGTCGTCGCTCCTGCTTCCGTCGACGGAAGACGGAAGCTCCGCCAGGCACTGCCTTGGGCGCTTTGGCCTTGGACTCGACGGCTGAGGGGCTGCGATACTTCGAGGCGCGGAGAGAACACATCTCCGACGGGTTCGCTTCGGATGGGCGGTGGATGGTCTCCGGCGGTGGCGGTTTGGCGGGTGCAGGAAACAAGGGTGACGAAGGGAGGAAGTGGGTCGAGCATGCCCGCCACCGTCGGACAACGGGCCCCACGGGCTGCTCGACCACGCGAACCACGATGACACCACAGCTATCAAAACCTCACCACGCCAACCGTGGAGGGTCTGTCAAGATTGGTCAACCAGGGTGGTTTTGGACTCTTGGTTTCAGGGAAGCACCTCAAGCGGCACAAGGATGTTTTTCCCACTTTAACATTGGCAGCATGACTGACAAGTGTTCCCTGTTCTTGACTTGGTTACAAACTCACCGAAAACCAAGGAACTATGGGGTTCTTCACTGAAGGATCCTAATTTAGTAGGCTCGTAGAGATGAGCAAAATAATTTCAAGAAAACATTGCAGTTATGTTGGTTCTGTGGACATTATGTGACATTTCTATATACATTACAAAGAATGTGTGGATTCGTTTCTCTCGATATTTGTTCCAAGTCTTTGTGTTTCTTGAACGGAAGACACGCGCGTCTTCGTGTCTTCGTGTCCTGTGCTGCCAATGCCAGGTCCACATTGACGAGGTCCACATCGGCCGATGCTCCGAAGACGGAGCTTGAAAGCTTGTTTCCGAATCAAGATCCGGTTGGTTTAGGAGGTTTTGGAAGTTTTCAGGTGGAGGTTTTTTTGTGAGAGAGCTGCTTTGTGAGCATGCGCCTGAAACACCGTAGGTGACCAGAACAGGTCTGTAGCATTTGGTCGGATCCTCTCCTTTGTGTGAAGCAGAAGCTACAATCGTCCTTCCCATGGGCCCCCCTGCTTCGTTGATCGTGACATGGCAAACAGTCCCAGACACTCCATGTCTGTCATATATGCCGCCCCAGACAGAGCCCTCTGGCACCACCACCCCTGGCCTGATCGGTAAATATGCCAGTCCCAAACAGGTCGTGTCTGGGAGTTGTTTACATGCCCTAGGGCTCCTGGCCCATATCCTCAGGTTCGGTGGTTAGACCCCCCCTGGCACCCACCCCAACCATCTTCTCAGGAGGTGGGCCAGGAGCCCTATAGGGATGTTCACTATCCCTATCCGTTTGTTGGTCTCGCCTTTCCCCGGTCCTTCCGGAACGCTTCACCGCTCAGAGGTCGGAAGGTCGTGGCGGCATCCTGCGATGCCGAGTCTTCTCGGAGAACCCTTCAATCCGAAGACCCCGCAAAGATGCCAACAAAACACAGGGTGGGTGAAGGTGTTTTTTTTCCTCCGTGCACGTCAGTCATGGATGTTCAGGGAGTTTTTGTTGGAAAGAAACATGGCTGCGCTCTGTACATACCGAGCGCTCTGTACATATGTCGCCCGCCAGTTTTTGTTAAAAGAAACATGGCTCTCATCCCCTACATCCTAACATTCGATAATTTTGGTGTTTTTTTGGCAGTAGTGCAGAGACCAAAAAGGAGAGAACCTCCCGGAAAACGTCGTGTTTAAATCCTCGTCACCAGGCCCTGCTGTGACTGCCAGGTGATCGAGGGCAAAGCAGACGGACTGGCGATCGGCGTGACCAGTCACAGGTGCCGCGGCAGGGAAGTGCAGGCGTTCTCCATGGCCCAGGCGTTCTCCCGAGACTGAGTGAAATAGAAGCGTGAAGAAGGAAAGGTCATTTTGCTTGATCTGTTCAAACCCTTTTTGGGTCTTACGGACCTCATTGGACTGGGTCCGGTCATGCAAAACCAGTACTCGATGAGGTCAAGGACCAGATTTAACTTGGCCCGTGGACTGGTAGGGAAAAAAAAGACCTGGAGAAACACAAATAGGTTCGGTGATGATCTCCTTGGCTGAAAAGGCATCATAAAACCAGCATCGGGGATCCGAGCTAGAGCTCGGAAGGCGGGGAAATCCGGCAAACGAGATGACCAGTTGGGATGGAACACCTTGGGGGAGTGCCATTGAATCAGACTTTGATGCATATCACCACAGCTGAGAATGCTACGGGCAGCCTATATTCAGTGCGTCTCAAAGACCAGCGAACAAAGAAACTCGCAGGCACACAGGCGTTCGGCATCTACGCCATGAACCTATCACAACATGGTGGGCGTGGACCTGATAGACCCCTCGTTCCTGGCAAAAACAGGGAATGAGATTGTTCGTAGCTGCACCTGCGTTGCCTCTCTTGGCCGCACCTTCAGACCTCCAGTCCCCTCACGACCCCAGCGCTCGCCTCGACCAGTCGACCCGCTCAGCCGCGCTGTGCCGCCGAGGCCCGAGGAGATCCTGGAGCCGCCGAGCTCCTCGGACGCCCTGCGCCCCGCGTGGCTCGTGGGCTTCGATGGCGCCGCCTGGGATGGACAGCGCATGGCGCCTGGGACGACCGAAGGGCGCGTAAAGGGGAGAGGACGGGACGGAGTGAGTGAGTGATGAACTGGTGGTTCCGTTCGGTTTCAGGGTGAAATTGATTGGGCTTCAAATCGATTTGACCTGATTACTGAAGAGACCTGATTTGCCATTGTTTTGATGTGCTGTGTCATTTTGCTGTTGCGAGAAAGTGTAACCTATAGCTACGGTGGCGGCAGATCTCTGAAGAATCACTCTCAAGGGTCCAAACACGGGGACCCTGGTTTGACCACCGAACATGAACAGAAGGGGTTCGAGATCAACCTCCTCCGGGTTTTGGCGCTCCAGGTTTTGACACCCACGAAATCCTCTGCGAACCGGTGGTGAAACTCCAGGTAAACATGATCATTCCAGAAAGTCTACGACCAACAATTATTTGTTTGGACCCGCTCCGGTCCCTGAAAATCCGAATTGCTGCAAACCGTTTTCACGGGATTGGTGGGAAGATGTCCCGCGTGGACCTCCCAAAAGTTGGCCACCTCGTCCTTCCTTACGGGCATGGTCAATGGCTCAACATCCCCCTAAGACATCTGATTGATGAACTTGCATTTCCTTCATTAAATCTATGGTTCTACCAGGAGTCACAAAGGGTGCCTATTGGAGGAAGTCGGGGTGCCCATTATCCACTCACTTAGGGACTAAACACCACCCCTTTGTGACTCCTGGTACCAGTTCATTGACTTGACTGTAAAGCTCACTTGTATTGATCGACTGAGGAGTGGTTCTTGAGCACCTGGGACACGCGGCAGCTCCGCGCCGGCGACGCTGTAGGCGTGGAGGGAAGAGACGGATGGAGGGGAGGGGTTGGGAGTGGTGCGAACCAGAATGAAACTGGTCGGTGACAAATGCATGAATGGAGCCATCGGAAGAGCCAACATCAACGAAAAGACCATGTATAGACTTAGACTCTTGATTGCTTATATCAGCATAGACCAGACCACAGTTTCAGCAGGAGTTGGTGCGTCAATTCCTTGAATTCCAATGTTGGAAACATCTGTAATGATACTCTACTAGTAACAGGTGCCACGCTAGTAGTAACAGGTGCCTTACTAGTAGTAACAAAAAGCTATTAGAAACAATAAGCTACTAGTAACAGGTGTTTGGGCGCGGTGGACCAGACCGCGCCCCGTGGACCAGACCCGGAACGGCCGCGATTGGCGCGCGGCGAAGTTAGGGGCGCCGCATGCTGCATGCTGCATGTGCTCATACCGGTGCTCTCAAGTGTTTGCTCACATGTGTGACCACCCTTGTTTTGTTCTGCTTAACACTGTTTCAGACCTCTTGCTGAAATAGTTGTTTAATGCAAATATGTCCATTGAGATTCTGGTTGATGGGATTTTGCACATAACCATCCTTTAACAAGACTGATGAACCATTAACCCCCAAACAACAAATCCATCGTCCAAGAAACCTTCTATCGTTCATGTTCATGGCATTATTCTTCTTTGATGGTGTTGTCAATGTGTCCTGACATTGGGTTTCCAAGAGTTGGTTGGGGAGATATGGTGTCACTATCCGATTGATGGGATGTTTGCCCTCAACTGGGTCGTGGTTTGGAGTAGTGTCTACCTCTTCATCACTGTTTGGAAGTGGCCATCCCCGTTAACTGAGATGCTTGGGGATGGTTTGAAGCTTCAAGCACCAACAGACAGTGTTCAGAATGGATTCCACAAACCAGTATCATGGAAGCTGAGTAGACTCTTTGTAGAGGAACCTGCTCTTCGAGGGACCTGTTAACCATAGTTGGACAGTTTCTCATTTCCGGACCCGCATCTACCTCTATGTTTTCTTCTTGCAGGAGGTTCCTTTACCACCAACCAACCAAGACCACCGCCAAGCAGCACGCAGCACGCAGCACGCAGGTGCCTTGGTGGACGCTCAGGGCGTCCTAAGGATCTTCGTGAACGGCACTCAAGTGGCACGGCTGAGTTTAAGATGTTTAAGGTACCTCCAGTATCCTCGGTGGTGGGTGTTTTAGGGATGATCATGGGATGATTTTCCTGTGAGTTATAGTCGTTGAGTATGTGTTTTTCTTGAAGGCGTACCTCGAAGAGTATCGGACGATCGCCTCGAAGAGTATCGGGTTGTATGTGGAAGTTCCGGGTCTTCACACTGCCCCCCCAATGAAAACGGATTCGACGCGGAAAACCGAAGGACAGCGGTGGATGTTGGAGGAGAAATCATGTTTGAAGATGTTTGATCCAAAATGCTTCCTTGTGGATGCTTCGTTGGAAAGAGGGGAGAAACAGAAGGTGGGGAACAGTGCCAACATGGGGCAATCTTGCCAGTTTCCACTACCCTTTGAGATGTATGCCGTATTTGGCTTTAGACTCGGCCCCAAAACTGCAGGATCTTGACAATCGACGGATTGTTCAATCACATCAAAAATTGCCTATTGATGCGCCTCTCGATGTGGCCCTTTCCTTTGGCCGTTTCTTTTTTTGGGGGGAACCAGCTGCGATCGATGATGTATCAGCCATTTTAGGACGGAGGGAAGGGCCGCCCAACTCATCTCTTCCCACCCGGCCAGCGAACGCGTGTCGCTTCGCGTGCACCATGGTGATGTTGCCCAAGGTGGCCAGGGGTCCCACCATCCCGCTGCAAGTGCAGGCGAGGGGTCTTGGGCCGCGGAGGTCCGACCGAACGGAGGTCCGATCAAGGAGTCGATGCCTACGATGTACTGAACTTGGCTGATGACCGGTGATATCCCCTTCGCATAAACCACCAACAGTGGAGAAGGATTGTATCATGAGAAAACCAACGCATTGCGCGTGGTAAATATGATGGATGGTGCTTACCAAATGTGAGGTGGTTGATTGTACCTTAGTAGGGCAGATGCCCATACTACCCGAAGTCGACGGAAGTCGACGGACAGGTGGTCAAATTGCAGTGGAAGACCTGCACGACTCGCTCGTTCAATTGACCCAGCCAATGACCAACCCGGTCGTTTGCTCCAAACATGCCACGAAATTGGCCCGCGGAGATGATTGCCAATGGGCTTTCAGCAGGTTTGGACGATCGCACTTGCGAGCTTCGGTTTCCAAAGGAGGAGTCATAGTACCTCCGAAACCATTTACTTACAGACAGTTCCATGACAGGCTTGGTTGGTGCGAAGAGTAGGTTTTGTACCTTAGCGAACTACCTTTGTGATGTCGCTGTGCCATGCGGAAAACCACGCGGCCTGGGCGGAGCCGTACGTTTGCGCTCCGTGCCGTTAGGGAGCAGCAGAAGTGGTGGTTTCCCGCACCGCCCACCAAGGCCGCGCATGGCGCCGCATGGCGCGTCATGGCGCATCACAGACGTCATGGCAGCCACACGGTGTGCCACAGACTGGCAGCCCAGAACGTCCAAGTTTGAGCCCCACCTATTGAGCAGCTACTTCCCGCGCTATACATGTGTATACTACATAGTTGCCATTTCTGAGGCCAGAGTCGGTGACAGCTACGCGCTTTATCCACCTTGACTTTCGGGAACTACGCACACTGGCGACTTTGACCCTCGATCTTCAACGACAAACGCGCGCGATCTCCGCAGGGGGTTCACCACACGCTTGAGCACTCGACACGCACAACCTCCGCAGAGGTTCGCGCTTCGTAAGCATGGGCCAGGCCCGCCCACGTTAAGAGAAGGTTTGAAAGATGTTGAAGTTGTAGTTGTGTAGGCGCATTTTGTTGGAGGTGGCTTTGCCTCTATCTCAACATTTGTATCTACACAACTGTATACAAACACCTGTACTTATGTAGGTGTGCTTTAGCAGTTGCATCACCTGCATCTCTGCCCCTGTGTGATGAAGATGAGATAAAAGATGATGATGGTGATGATGATGACCATTGTGCTGGTGATGGTGATACTGATGACGATAAAAATGTGGTATATAATGGTTGTGATGATGACACTGCTGATTGTGTTGATGATGGTGATGGTGATGATGATAACAATGTGGTGATGTGATGGTGTTGATGACTGTGACCATGATGATGAAGATGGTTGGACAGTTGTAGTTGGCAGCATTTTTTTGACACAGAACCCATCGCAGGTGCTTGCATTGTTCCAAACTCCCAAGGTGTCCAAATGTCGAAGTGCTGTGAAAGTTCTTAGGTGTGGTTTGAAACCGTCATTGAAACGAAGGTGTGAAACCCTGCTCGTGACCCTAAGGTGTGGTTCTTCCTGCTCAGTTGTGGTTTTAATGAAGACTAAGAACATCTGAGAACCCTTTCACTGAACCGTCATTGAAACTCTGGTGATTTCGCCAGGCTTTGTACCCTGTGGTGGACTTGTTGGGGGCTGTGAAGCGCCTCTCTTTGCTGCCGGTGGCCACTGCCCCCCACGGTACCCGAGGCAAGTGGAGCGTGAATGACGTGTTTGATTGAAACACCGTAGGTGACCAGAACAGGTCTGTAGCGTTTGGTCGGATCCTCTCCTTTGTGTGAAGCAGAAGCTACAATCATGACAATCATGATGTCCTTCCCATGGGCCCCCCTGCTTCGTTGATCGTGACATGGAATGAAAACAGTCCCAGACACTCCATGTTTGTCATATATGCCGCCCCAGACAGAGCCCTCTGGCACCACCACCCCTGGCCTGATCGGTAAATATGCCAGTCCCAAACAGGTCGTGTCTGGGATACATGATGTGGTCAGCCCTTAACCCTCGTGGAAGGAAGACACAAAAGTAGCGTCCCTGCTCGAAGAGTCCGAACTGAGCAAGGTCGTGAAGTGGTGTGAAACGAAGCGAAACCATCAAAGGGTGCGGATGAAATTGATATGAAATGCTTTTAGCCCCCTTCAACTTGTTTAGTCCGTTGGATCGCTCTTCAGATGTTCCTTCCTGTGCGTGCGTATGAGAAGTGGGACTTCAGTGAGTGCTGAACGCAGCGAATGTTCCCCGGATTGGACCGGTGACTTGGTGGTTGGGTGGCATGAACCCTGGGACCCCCAAGAGTTTTCTTACACTCCTGAAAGTGGAAAACCACCTGTTTGTCGTGGAAAATGGTCTTCCAAGGGGCCATTCTCCACTTCCATGTTAGTTCCAGGGAGTGTAGGTTTTTTTTCCAAGAGCTTTGCCAAGAACTGCAGGCATATTTGATTTGAACATGGGGGGCCGCATGAAACCTGGGGATCTTGATGATTCAGTCACCAACATTGTGGAAAAGTCATGGGACAGCCACCCCCACTGTTTTTGACCATGGAATCCTGTGACTATTCTGAAAGTCGAAAGCTTCCTAGACCACAGCTTCTTCACATGATGCTGGCTATGTCCAAAGGACCCAAACTAAAAGGAGGGCCCAAACCAAAAGGGTTGCTACCAGGGTTCAACTGGCAGGGGTGTGAGCCAAAGTTCCTCTTATTTGTGCTTAAATCACTTAAAATGTGGTTTAGATTAGATGATCAAGGTTGGATTTGTGCCTTTGATGATCCTTATGCTTCTCCGTTCCAATAGTTTGGTGGGCGGACCTGCAGATATAGAGGTGTGCCGTCACCGACGACTACTCTACATGGGTATGTCGGTAGAACCCTGGTGCAGGCCTCAAACCCATGAGCTTAAGGAACCGGGTATTGGGCTTCGGGGCAGTTGGTTTCTTTTTCTCCCGGTGGAGGTTCACCGTGATCGGTCGGGGTCTGCACTCGGTGATCGGTCGGGGTCTGACATCGGTGGTGATGTGGATGGGATGACCAGGGCATCCGAGGGCCAAAGAGGTGGAACGATGTGAACTCCACGTGTTTGGCTTTCTCATGGACCTGAAGGCATGCAATTCTTGGCATGCACACGGCCAACCTGTGGGTCGGTCGCCCACATAACAACTCCATCGGTGTTGGGTCTTTGCCATCTACCAGTGAATCTTGAGGAGTACCATGGCATACCACAGGACAAGGTACCTGATTTTTGTTGCAGCCGTGGCCAAGTCTTCAAGTATACCACTCTATGTTCCTCCAGGTCTGTTTCAAAATCGCCACAGGAACCGCCCACTCCAGTGGTGAGCTACATGACCTGCTTCCATCGAGAGAAGGCAACGGCGAGCATCGAACGATGAGTAGACTGGGCGGAAGCGCTTCCGTGTCCGTTTTCGCAACACGTCGAAACGAGCGCTTTTGCGATGCACATTTTGGGTAAGAAGTAGCTGCTTAGCTCAGCGTTGCAAAAAGATCTTTCTGGGTCATCAAGGCTGTCATTGAGCCGTTTCATGATCAGAGAGAGAGAGAGAGCAAAACAAAAAGATGGATGTTCCATGGCTTCCACACACAGGCTGTGTCCGATTCATTAATTGCGCGGCAGCGAGGTGGGCGCGAAGATCCTGTTGTCGGAGGATGGAAGCAGTGCACAGAGGGCCACCTACGCGAGTAGCGCCTGGGAAGGCGGCTTAGTTTTTTGGAGATGGACCTTTGCCAGCGCGCGAGGCAGGATTGCAGGTGGATACAGGAGAATCACGGGCTTTTGGGAGGAGGATTCAAGTGCATATTTGGGGGGGAGGATGATACGTTTGATATAATACGATTTGATCATTTTCTTGGGAAATTCTTCGCTAGACTGATGGAATTGCTTGGATTGGAAAGCCTGGACATGTTCAAAGGTATTCAAACACTGATAGAAACATGGTCTTTTTTGCCCCCCAAAAGGGTGAAGTGCACAAGTCGGCGTTGGTTTCGCCTCAGGCATCTATGTAGATAGGTATGGGCCATGAGGATGCTAGATGAACATCCCGCAGGAGTATGCTTTTGTTCGTTCACCCTGCGGTGTTCACCAGACACCGCAGGATGAGAGATGACACGCCGCGCACAGCAAAAAACGAATCGTCACAGACGGCTTGTTGCAAACCCTTTGCCTCCTCCCTGTTCAACAGCGATTTTGGGGACAGGACACTTCCAGCAGAACAAGACGTCGACGGTCCGAAACCCGAAACCCGCTGGGCCGTCGCGTGACCGGACCGGGGTGTGACCGAAGCCCGAGACGTTCGCCGTTTGGGGACCGCACCGCACCTACCGGTCCGGGCCCACCAGAGTTGCAACCGGTTGCTGGCTCTGGATCGGCGTTTCGTTTTGCGGGAGCTGCTGCCGTGCT